CCCCCCCCCCAGTTGGCACAGAGACTGCAAAAAAAAGCCTTCTTAACTAAAACAAAAACAAACCTTTTGGCTTGAGCTGGGCTTTAAGAGAAACTGACATAACTGGATATTAAGTTCAGTGGTGATTTGTAAGTTCTTCAGAGAAAGGTATTTACCCGTCCCCAATTAGACCACTGCGGTCACGTAGTGCGTAGGGGGGAGAATATAAAGGAAAACACTGCAGTCGAAATGATCTGTAGAGCTGTGAAGGTGTCTTGTCTGGACAATTCATGTGTGACCTAAATGGACGTCGAGATAATTGGATATTCCAATCATGCCGGTGATTGGAGCACAGTCACACAGACATTACCCCGCTCCGTGGTCTTTTAACACTTCTAGCTGGACATTGCGGTGCGTGAAATGAGTTATGGGAGGAGGGGGGAGGCAGTGCGGCTGTAAGGAGGTAAATCAGCTCAGCGTAAGAATGGCAATACCCTTTTTGGCAGCTGATGTGTCCTTTTTTTATTTTAACTGACACTAAACTCAGGAGTTAAATCTTAAAAATACATTCAAGTATTTTAACTGTTAGCAAAAATGTCTCTTATTTGTGTATCACTCGGCTGAAGATCCTCCAATCATCTCTGAATCGCTGTCCTTCCTTCTGGAGGGGGGCTACTTTTGTTCCCCATGGTCCCTGTGTGTGTTGTAAAGTAGTCACCGCTCCAAGCTCCCTCCTGGGATGGGCTACAATCTCATGTTTAGTTTTTGTAGTGAGATTGTAGTCCATCACAGGAGTGAGCTTGGAGCGGTGACTACTTTACAACACACACAGGGACCATGGGGAACAAAAGTAGCCCCCCTCCAGAAGGAAGGACAGCGATTCAGAGATGATTGGAGGATCTTCAGCCGAGTGATACACAAATAAGAGACATTTTTGCTAACAGTTAAAATACTTGAATGTATTTTTAAGATTTAACTCTTGAGTTTAGTGTCACTACTGTTAGGCTGGGTTCACACCTAGGCGTATCGAATATGCGCGTTTCGTGGCGCACGTTTTTACCACGATTCGCGGTAAAAAAAAGAGCGCGCGACAAACGCGCGTTTCCGAGGGCTACCTGGCTGTATCCCAATGGATACGCGCGGCAAATACGCCCCAAAGAAGCTCCTGTACTTCTTTGGGCGTAGGGCGTTTTGCAGCGCGTTCCTACGCGCTGTAACACACCCAGGTGGGAACCGTGCCATAGGCAATCATTGGTTTTCACATGTTGAGCGTTTTACAGAGCGTAGGAATGCGCTGTAAAACGCCCAGGTGTGGACCAGACCTTAAAGATATTTCCCCCCACTTCCTGTCTAGGGGACAGCCTTTTTACCAGACAGGAAGTGAAGGAATCTCTCTAACTGATCCTCAGAGAGCAGTAAAATATTCCCAACTCTTTCCAAAAAGAAAAAGAAAACAATTTGGCTACAGATACACTTTAAAACCAAGGACCAAAGGAACAGATATATGGCTAAACATCCCCTTGGCTAGATGACAAACTAATTAGCATTTCTTTATTCCCAATAATGCATTATAGGTAAGTGATATCATTAAATTAACTTTGGACTTTTATCCAAATGAACTGTAGAAAGCATTATGTGTGGATGCGGGTACTTTCAGCAAGAGTATATAACGAAAAGAGAAGAAGGAAAGAGGTGTAGAGAAGAAAGGGACTAAGGAAAGAGGAGGGAATATAAAGAAAAGGGACATATGGATACTTCCTGTATCTGTGCCCACCATCACATGGACAGGAAGTGAGGGGGCACAGGGATACAGCAATAAATTCTGACAGAGGTTGTAATCCTTCCTCTTTCTATCCAAAAACTTTTAAAAAAGAAAGTTTGCTTGTTGTTCTGCTTGTAGGCTTCACACCTTAGATTTTATTAATGTGTGATTAAAGGTACTTTTATCTGCTGGGTTTAGGAGACGTGACCCCATGTAAACTATGAGTCATTTAAGCTGTCGCTTATGCATGGACATGCAATCTCCTCATGTGGCAGCACCGGTGCTTGGTGATTGGCCTGGTCCTGTCACACGGAGTGAGTTGCATGCTAATCCATAGGCGGAAGTACTAGGTTTCTTTTTTTTTACACCTCAAAGCTTTAAGGAGGGTCAAGGAGCAAAGGAAAGATGAGTATGTGCTGCTGGGAAGAGTGAGGGGATTAAAATGGGCCTGTTGCTTTTGCTGTGAAAAGTACAGTCACCCCTAATAACCAATCAGATTGCAGTTTGTAATAACCAGATCACTAAAAGATCAAATCTTTTGACTAGTAGCTATGGGGAGACTGAATAGACCATAGAGGATATTCAGTTGTGCATGCGCGTTCCGGCTGCCCTCAGGACGAGCTTTTAGAATGCGAAAGCCAAATGTACAATAGCTGCGGTGGAGAGAAAGCAAGGGGCGTAGCAGGAGGCCAACGCCAGCCTAACACAGATGGGATCAATAATGGCTGTGATTTTCTATCCTAGCAAGGTAATTGTCCCCTCTGTGAGTGTGGCCATGCCATAATTATATGAGGCACCCATAGACGTGATAAAAGTTGAAACAGGACAGCCATCATCTCATGGCTATGAGCAGATTAATGACGGTTTGCTTTAGTAAACAAGCCAGATAGTGTGCTGGCAGGAAAAAAAAAAAGCACGAGCGGCTCCAGTGGACAAGAAGAAAAGGCCTGAACCGGGTTCTGTTATTAAAGAGAGCTGCACAGAAAATTATTTATGGCAGTGCACTGCTGTGAAGATGATTTATGAACGTGCAGTGCCACACAGGAGAAAATATATCAATACGCAGAGCTGCGTAGGAAATTATGTATCGCTGTGCAGTGATGTGTTCCCTGGAGACGTCTGTCTCTGAGGAACTTGTCTTCGCTGTTCTTGGTTTAAAGAGAACTAGTCAGATTTAAAGTGAAGCTGCACTTTTCTAGTGCAGGGCAAAGCAATAGGTTCACATAACTGAGACCCCCCTCCCCAGCTGCACAACCTCCACATACTTACGCTCCCATGCCGCTCTATGAAGCCGCAGAAAGCACAGTGACATACCCATACTCCCCTGCCTCCCACATGATAGCCTTGGTGCTTGCTGACTGGCTGCTTAGACACCTAGCATTGTCACATGGCGGTAGGTAGGGAGTCCTTCATTTTGTGTAAGCTCCAAATTACAACCTGGAATTTTCACAGGACTTTCTTTCCTCTCTTCAGACGGAGTAAAGGTCAAAGCAAAGTCCTTTATAAGGTGTACTTGAACTCAAAAATTTTAAATGTGCCTGAACACTACTCTGAAAAATTGTTAGGAGCATGAGACCCACTCATACACCTACTTGGCAGCCCACCGCCCAGCCACTCTCTACTCCCTGGCCAGAACATCGATGCTGGCTGGCAACAGGCCCAACTCTTGGCAGCAACGCTACTCCGTTATTGTTGGCTGACCGCAGCATTCCTCTGTGCAGGTGTCCTCATCTGCCTAGCATTCTCCCCTCTGAATGGCTGCAGCGCTTTGGCATTCTATTTGAGCATTACAAAGCAGGGGCTCTGGGCTTGTAATAGCGTTTTTCTACCTGGCTCCTTCGCCCTCACCTTGCCTTGCTCATAGGTGCCCGTCTTGCCTTGTCTTTGGATTATCCTGTTACTGACCCCATACCTGCCTTACGGACTACACTTCGTCTGCCGTCTGGCTCGACCTTGGACTGTTTCTGCACTACGCTTCATCTGCTGCCTGCCCTGACCTTTGTCTGTCTCTGGATTACATTTAGCGCCTGCCCTGACCGCCACCAGCCTTGTACTGCGTGGCCAGAAACTAAAGCATTGTGTCTTAATCCCCTGGGGCAACTAAGTACTGGTAGGCCTGCTCTCCTTAGGGAAACGGGGGCTGTTCTAGGTGAAGTCTGACTCACTAGTTATAGTTTTGACCCTTGGTACCGGGGTGAGTGTTATAAAAGTCTTGTATTCATCCTGAGACATAGCAGTGTACTTCTTGTGTACCTACAGCATCATAGCTATATACCTGCAGTGTGAGATCATCTACATCTCTGCGGCCTATGACTGTCTCACTGGATTTGGATTAAGATTTGGTGATGTCACTCCTGTGCTGTTCACTGGTCTTCTTACTGGAGAGAAAGCTCTACCTGAGCACCTGCAGTGCAAAGATCTCCCTGCTTCTGTTTCATTTATTCTAAGGCATTGTGCTTACTCCTCCTCTCTTGCTGCTTCTTAAAAATGTCCCTCCCCAGATCACCCCGCCCCTTTATCAAGATGGCCTCCGTACAGGGACATGGTGCAGAACGAGGCACGGTAAGTCAGTAGGGAGAGACCTCAGGCAATAATGGTGACTGGTCCTTTCTCCTCTGTTTGCCTATTTTTGGGTAAAGTTTCCACAGTTCAGGAAAATTCCATCTGAATATAATGTTTTGTACTTTGTAATGACAGAGACAGCTGTAAATGTTGTTCCTGCTTGTACAGCTAACAGGGATAATATGCAGCTGAGCCGATCTCATAAAATGGACAACCAGAAAAACTTGTCTCTCTCTCTCTCTCTCTGCACATTTATGTATAGGAAATGATCACTCCTCAGTCTGACAGGAGCAGTTTAAATATCTTCCCGTCTAATAAGCTCCCTATTTTTATATAGTTATTCATTCATGTTATTAAGTGATTTCATATAAACCAGCATTTCATTCATGTTATTTAAAAAGATAAAAAGCTTGCCAGTTGCCTCCCCCAGTCGGTGGATAATAGGGCTGCATAGGTGACGGTGGGCTTAGGGCTGGATTTCTGCATTGAAAAGATAGGACATGGCCTATGGTGGCATGGCTGTGGAGGGTGGGGTGGCATACAGTCTTCCACATATGATGTTGCAGATTGTCAGTAACACATTCCTGTGTATAATAAAGGGCTCAGCAAAACGCCCTTCCTGCCATTGCAATGAGGCTGGGTCCTTATTGCTGCTGCCCAGGTTGAGAGTACATATTTGGTAGCTGGAAAGGCTATGTAGTTCATCCATTCCAGGCCCATAAACCTAGAAGCAGATTGCTAACAGAGTACGGCTAAATCCCAGCTCCAGGCTATTATTTTTAATCCACCTGGAGCTTTAAAAAAATCAACTCTAGCTGCATTATTTTTTTAACTTAGAGTTGCCCCTGCATTACCACTTCTCTACTAGATATCCTCAGTCGTTCAGGTTTTAATGATGTCCAGTTAACAGGGCGTCACGGACCCGCCCCCTGACAAGATCCCACAATGGCGCCCTGCACACATACATTGTATTGAAGTAGAGATCACTACTGACATCATCACGGCAGTGCCACGCTCTGCATCATTCTACTTCCAGGAGAAGACCAGAAAAGAAGAGGACACTGTGTGTCACATGACCAGTCTGGAAAAATATGGACACCGGCACTCCAAGGATAGAATACGTCTATTTAATGGTGTGCGTACATTTTGCACGCACGTCATTAAATAGACGTATTCTATCCTTGGAATGCCGGTGTCCATATTTTTCTATACTACTGGACGGTGGCCATCCATCGACTACCGATGCACCCACCTTACTTTCAATGGATGAGCGGTCAGGAGTGCAATGGGTACATGGACTGTAACATGACCAGTCTGTAGACATCTGGAAAAGGTAAGTATCCCAAAAAATATTATACAATACTGCTCTGGGTCCTCCAGGAGGGTAGAGGTTCTTTAAGCTGGGCATGCACATGGTAATTACATAGAGCGATCACATTTTGAGAAAGGAAGTAAATGATGGTCACCAGGAAGAAGTGTTTGGGAAGATTAATAAAGTGAAAGCACAGATACAGCGGGCACAACAGAACACTTTGAAGCGTTTACACTTTATCAGTGTTTAATTATAAGGTCTAATGAGCCTTATGGGGAAGAAAGCAGGGGAGGCATCATGATGGTTCAGCAAAAAAAAAATTCTCCTGCAAGGCAGACATGTGACTACATGGGCCAGCGCCAGCAGGGAATTATGGAAACACAAAGGTAGCAGAGGGTGGTTATGCGGCTTTATCCTTCTGTGGCCTTTTACCTATAAAACTGTGACAAAATATATTAAATAAAGTGGGCCGGTGAAAGACATATACAACGGCCCTGCACTGCTGTAATGACTGCTGGAGCGTCTCTCCTTTTCACACTGCAGGATCCGAATAACATTTTCTAGGTCAGTTGGCCCGTTATCCACCATTTACTGGTCTCCAGGATCTTGCGCTCCTCTGCGCATGCATCAATTAATCCCAGTTTTATTCCTGGCACAGGTAAGACCCAGCGATCAATACGGAATTTATCACACTAGCCCGTCCTTCAGCTGCCTCACAAAACCGGTCGTCCTCTGGACCCAGCAAGACGTGTGCAAGTGGCTGAAGAAGCATTGCCCACACAACTATCTCACCTATGTCGAGGCCTTCTCCCACCACGCCATCACAGGTAACCTTTCATTAACTGTTATTGTCAAAAACCTCAGCAACAAAAGTTGAAGTGACACTAAACTCAGGAGTTACATCTTCAAAATGCATTCAAGAACCTTAACTATTAACAATACTGGACCTTATCTGTGTATCACTCGGCTATAGATCCTCCAATCATCTCTGAATTGGTGCTGACACTGTCCTTTCTTCTGGAGGGGGGCTACTTGTGTTCCCCATGGTCCCTGTGTGTTGTAAAGTAGTCACCGCTCCAAGCTCGCTTCTGTGATGGACTACAATCTCAGGTTTAGTTAGCTAATTTGTACTGCGATTGTACTCCATCACAGGAGCGAGATGGGCAGATCGTATGTTTTTTTAATTACTTTACAACCATCGCAAGACTAAGGTCTTGCGATGGTTGTAAAGTGTATGGCCACCTTTACAAATCAATATTTTAATATTTCTACCCCCAGCTGCCTAATTAACAACTGTCTCTGTCTCTCTGTTCACGGCTAATAGCTAGAGCCAACCGCACCTGCTCCCTTCCTGGCTTGTAGTTCAAGCCAGTGCTGGAGGAGCAGAGACCAAGATCTGACTGATCTGATGGGTCACATGATCGGTCCGTTTTTGGCCTTAGAGCCGGCTTGGGGTACCTGCAGTGTCCCATCCCTGCTCTAAGCCTCAAGGAAACTATCTTTTAAGTATGCCATACACTTATATTTTTGTCTCTTTTAGCCCCGTGGCAGCATGTATGGGGTAATCCCCCTCAGCCGGGTTATTGTATTCTGACATCGGTGAGGGTTTTGCTGTCAGAATACCTGAGTGGCTGCAGTCACTGTTTAGCCGTCAATGTGCCGCCCAGCGCCTTCAATTTTGAGATGGGAGGATGTAGGGTGGTAGGCTGTTGACAAGGCCCCTCGCTGGGCGTATTTTGTCCGGTTCATCAAAAACCAGCTCATATTCGCTTTGTTTAAAGCCAGCTTTACATAAACCGAACTTCTCCATTAAAGGGGTTACATCTCCTTTAAGTGTAGTTACCTTTAGACAGAGATCTACATCTACCCCTTGCAGGTCTTGTGTGGCTCTAGCCTATGAATGAACAAAAAATGTTGTACAATGTGTATAAAAGGGAGAAACCCATATGTTGCTGCATTTGTAACAACAGAGGCTTACAAACTCGAGGAGCAAATTGAACATATTGTTGGCTGGCGTCTCTGTATACCCCCACAGGCTGCGTATCGGAGTCCAAGCCTACACTGTGCTGTGTCTCAGGGACAGAGCCATAAACAGTGAATGGGTTACATCTTCTGACTGTGCCTGAATCCCAGCAGACACGCAACAGCTCTCACTGCGAGATCCATACCCCCGGGCAGCATACAGCACAAGTCTTAATGTACGCAGCAGATAAAAGTACAGAGAGAAGATGCCATCCTCAGGAGAGACGAGAAACAAGGGAGGAGAGTGAAAAGGGAAAAAAACTAAACAGAAAATGGACTAGATGAAAGATAAACTGGTGGAGAGATGAGGGGAGTATGTGCTATAGGGAGCAGCAAGAATTAGACTTGGATGAGGAGGGAGAAAGTGTTTTTGGCGGAGATAAAGTCTAAAGAATTTCACATTTTACATAATTTGGCTGCAACATTTTTTTCAGATACACAATTTGTAGACTGGAGGAAAGAAAAGTTTAAGCCACTGCAATGTCTTTGCCTAAAGCTGGCCATACAGAGCTTGAATTCGAGTCTTGGGTGGCCCTCCTGATACCACTTCTTTAAGGCCAGATTTACATACACTGAACTTCTCCATTAAGGGCTTACATCTTCTTTAAGTGTAGTAATCAAAGGAGGCGGACGGAAAAAGATCAGCCGAATAATGGCGGCATCCATTGGAAATCTTGACATGCTTGGCCAGCTTAACTCCTTAACAACTCTTGAGAATAAGGTCAGCTGCACAGGCAATGCATTGTTTCCTATGGGTCATACAACACTAAGGGGTTCAGTTATAAAACACAGCACTAGCACCCACAGATGGCGCTGATGAGTAATCCTCTACTTGTTGGTGCCATCTAGAGGCACTTCCATTCTTCCCTAAGTCCAGTCAGTGCTGGGCCAAATACAAAGCACATGTGCTGCCAAAATGAGAGGGTGGGAATGAGTTATATACTCCGAGTACCGAGTATCTTCTTTTGACGGATAATTAAAGGGGCATGGGGTGTCTGCAAACGGTAAGTATGTGCTGTTGGAGAGGGGGCATTAAAGAGAACCTGTTCTTTTTGTCTACTATATGCACAGTTGCATTGCATGATTTGTTTTCTAGAGTTGCCCTTATATAAACCTGCTAGTATGTTACCCAGTACAGTATGCATATTCTTTTCTTGTCTCTATCCCCCAGGACGAGCCCTGCTGAGGCTGAATGCAGAGAAATTGCAGCGTATGGGCATTATCCACGAGTCTCAGAGGCAGGAGGTCTTACAGCAGGTCCTCCAGCTGCAGGTACGAGAGGAGGTCCGCAATCTGCAGCTGCTCAGTCAAGGTACGGGCAAGAGAAGCAAAGACATTATTAACCTGTACTGCGGGTTAAGAGTACCTGGTCCTTGTATAAAATGATGGGATCTGTAATTTTGGGTTGGAGCCATAAGCAATACAGTGGAACCTATTAGATGAAATTATGTACCTTGTTTTAGTTTTTGACAGATCAGCCCCAGGAATTCCTATGAACGAGGTAGACTCTGTATATGACTTAGCCAATGCATTCTCATGTTTAAGGCCTACTCTAGTCTGTGAACCTTCATACTGTCACCATAGAAATGATGGGGGTTTAGCCTGTATTAGAGTGAGATGTGATGGGCCCAGCCGTCATTTGGCACCTCAGAACATCACTGTAAGCAACCACAGACTCTTCTGCTTTCTGATTTCCTTTCTGCTGACACCTGTAGAATAGGTGAAGTCTTTAAAGAGACCCTGTCACGGTTAAAAGACATTCCTAAAGTACAGTCCCTTGCAGTTGAAGAGCTTACCTTTATAACTCTTTGTATCTCCTACCTTCCCTCCATTCCAGCACTGCAGCATCACCAGTCTTTTCAACATTCAACACTGTGGGATAGTTGGATGCCTGCACCCTACGCCACATTGCATGGATTCATCCTCCAACCTCTACAGCAATAAAGAAAATAGCAGTAATGTAAGGGTCGGAGAATGGAACCACAGCATGTGGAGGGGGGGGTGACACCTATGCTAACTAGTACATATGCTTTTTTGAGCATTTCAGTTTGAGACACTTCTGAGATAATTCAGAATTCACTGACGGGTGCATCTGACCTGCGGTGGTTCTGCATTTAGCCTGCCTGGAGTGGGTTTTGCATTCCTATAGACTTGTATGGCATTGTAAAACCCACTTGAGGCAAATAAAAGCCCCGCGACTCAGGCCCTTAAAACTATATTTTTGTTAATATGGTGAAATCTGTCTCCCTGCTTCAGATTGTCTTTTTATTCTTCTCTTCAGCTTCATTTGGGAATTTCTAACAGAGATGACCCTGCCAAACACTGTGACCGAATTATTTGCGACTGCAATCTCCCTGTGCCAAAATGACTACTGTAACGCCAAGAACACTCCATAATTCCATCTCTCCCGGAAAAATGCAGAGGGGTCAGAAACCATAACTGGATCAGATGGCGAATATAGAAGGGGTCACCAACACGCTGGAGGTCTTCTGGGGCCGACACGTCTCTGATCTAACCCCAAAAACAAACCCCCACCCACCGCAACGTTTCACTGCAAATTCCCTTCGCTGCTATGGGCAAACAGATATGTTTTTGGCTAAGCTGTTGTTGTCACTGGCATGTGAATTCTCAGTAGTTACCTATGCAGAATACAGTAGAGGATGGTAGTGTTACACTGCACAGTATATACTCCGTGAAAATGTATGGAAGACTAGGATGGGTGATAACACCAGTGACAACAGACTAAAAAGCTTTGGTCAGCTGTGCCAGGGGCAGGGGGGTTACTGCACCTGGAGGTCCCGGGAAATAGAAAACGTCAAGCAGGCATTTCTATCCGCCGTTGAGCCCCTATGTCTTTCCATTTCCCGGCTGTGAGATCAAACCCTATGCCAAGCTACAGAAAATGTCCAGCATTCTGGAAGTTCATCTCTGCAAGTTAGCGAAGAGTGACTAAACCATGTGTTGTGATGTCCAAAAATGTTGGCCCGCTTGAAACAAAATTGCACGATTTTATGGTCACCTTTAGGCCAACGAAAAATATTGCATAAAAGGAGTGAACAGGAGCCATGACAAAGACCGAAAGAGGTTATTTTTAGAATTGACCTTTCTCCACTGCATAAAACCCTCTGCTGAAGTGCTACGGAGGAGAAACAAACATAAAATGAACAGACTGCATGTAATCTAGAGCAGCTCACAAGTTGGCTGCTCTCTGACTGTTTTGCCTTTTAACCCTTTTAAATAGTCTTTGGATTACATTGGAGGAACAAAGGGCGATCAATGCCTTTAGTAATGCAGATCTATTTAGGAAAGTAGCAGCTGCGTTGTGCTATGGGCGTCAGATGTTAGAGAGCGCCGGTTACTACGGGTTCATCCAGACTGCAGACATCGTATTCCAGCTTACCACAGTACAGCTACAGCAAGGCACTTACATCATGTAACCTAGCAATAAAATACAGCTCCACCTGTTGGTGGTTAGAGGGTAGTGCAGTGCAAGGTTTTCATATCTTAGCAGTGACTGTTAAATTATTTTATTGTGCAAGATCAGAAGACTGGACTGTCAGCCGAAAATCTGGGTCTGAACGTGCGAATTGTGGCCGTCAGCGACTAGTCAATGTTAGGGCAGAACGGAGAGTGGCAAGACTGGTACAAGACAACACAATGGCAACAGTGCAGTGTCAGATTCCTCGCAACATCTCGTGGAGTCACGAGGCGGCCCAACTAAGTCATCTCGTGGCCCAACAAAGTACTGATGGGGTGGTCATAATAATCTGGCCACTCAGTGTATATGGTAGCAGTAATCAATTGAATAATGGTAACAGTGGTCTGTACCCATAGGTACTAATTGAGTATTAGGTAGTAGCAGCCTCAGATAAACAAGTAGTTGGAGGAAGTACGAAGTAGTATCAGGCAATAGATTCCCATGAGGTAACAGTAGTGAATGTAGACATGGTTGGTTTGGTATGGGAAGATTTGCCAGCAACCCATAGGAAGGTTGACTCTCGTGCTTACAGGAAGCACAGACCGTACAGGTGGTCACATATTTAGAAACGGTCAGCTGCATCTTTGGCCACCAGGAATACCGCCGGACAAGCTCGAGGGTCCTGTTGACACCTGGATGACCAGCATTTGGTGAATCATGTAGAAGTTTGAGGATCTGAACACGCATGGAAGGGGGAATGTACAGTTTGGAGTCCCTGTAGAGGAACCCCTCACCATCACGCTACAGACCAGGAGGGTGGTTGGTCACAGATGTAATTCCGTTTTGAGTTGCCGCTTTAAATCAATGGTGGTGGCAAGCACCCGTTCCGGAGGTATGATCGAAGTGGTTAAAGAGTTCGCTTTCGAGGCATCACTGATTCTGGAAAGGGAGTCCGCTTTGCCGTTCTTGGAACCTGGTCTGTACGTTATGATGTAATCGAACCGATCAAAAAAAAGACTCCAACGTACCTGCCTGGAGGACAGGGTTTTGGTAGTTTTTAGGTATTGGAGATTCCGGTGATCGGAATAGATAATGATCGGGTGAAGTGTACCCTCTAGCAAGTGCCTCCAGGTCTCCAGATCATCTTTTATGGCCAGCAATTCCTTTTCCCCTATTGGGTAATTCTGTTCAACATTGTTGAGCGTTCTGGAGTGGAATGCCACCGGGTGTAGTGGGGTAGAAAGAGATTCTCGTTGGGACAATACTGCTCCAATGGCCCACTCGGACGCGTCCACTTCGAGAATGTATTGGGAAGCAGGGTTAGGCAATTTAAATATGGGAGCAGTAGTGAATCTGCGTTTTAAGTCATCAAAGGTTTTTTGGGGTTTCCGAATTCCAAGTAAATCTCAACTTGGTGCTAGTGAGGTTTGAGAGAGGTTTAACTGTACTGGAGAAGTTTTTTTTATAAACTTCCGGTAGAAGTTTGCAAATCCGAGGAAGGGTTGCAGCGCTCTTCGAGAATGAGGTACGGGCCAATGTAGTATACAGTCGATCTTGGAGGTATCCATCTGTACGCCTTCCGGGGAGATGACATAACCCAGGAAAGGAACTGTATCACTCTCAAAAATACATTTCTCCAGTTTGGCATAAAGACGATGGGCTCGGAGTCTGGATAATACCCATCGTACGTGTCTTTGATGGTCTTGGAGGCTGTCAGAGTATATGAGGATATCGTCCAAATAGATAACCACGCATACTTCTAAGACATCTCTGAAGATACCATTAATTAAGCATTGGAACGTGGCCGGGGCGTTACTCAACCCGAAAGGCATAACCGTATACTCAAATAGCCCGTAACGGGTCCTGAAAGCAGTTTTCCATTCGTCCCGCATACGTATCAAATTATATGCGCCCTTCAAGTTGAGTTTGGTGTAGACTCGGGTCTCCTGCGGGAGAGGTGGATGGTCGAATGAACCCTTTTTTGAGGTTCTCTTCAAGGTAGTTTTTGAGGTGATTTAGTTCAGGTTGGGATAGCTGATATATCCTTCCTATGGGAATCACACTGCCTGGAAAGAGATCGATGGGGCAGTCGTATGATCGATGCGGAGGTAATACATCTGCGTTCTTGGTGTTGAAAACGTCTTGGTAGTGTAGGGGAATTCCTTCCCGTTTGAGATCCATGATGGTTTTTGAAGGGTAACAGGTATCTTGGCAGTAATTGGAGTTTAGCTGCACTGCATTATCTGCCCATATGAGGTTTGGCTGATGCAGTTTTAACCGGGGGATGCCCAGTATGACAGGAAATACAGGAGACGGAATCACGTCAAAGGCTATGTACTCCCTGTGATTGTCTTTGGTAACCACCATCAGAGGTTGTGTTTGTAGGGCTATTGGACCAGAGGACAAATGGGTTCCGTCGATGAAACTAACTGACAGAGGTGTGGATTTTCTGCAGGTGGGGATGCAGTTCTAGTAGACCAGTTGTGCGTCTATGAAATTCCCGCATGCGCCGGAGTCAATCATGGCATCAATCTGCAGTCTTCTTTGTTCCCACTGTAAGGATAAGGATATATAAATATAATTCGTGGATTGCAGATGTGGGGAATAAATTTTAGCAATGCGAGGAATCTTACCTGCATTCTTCCTCCTTACAGCTGAACATTCGTCCACCAGGTGATCGGTGGCGGCACAGTACATGCAAAGGTTCTGAGTCCGACTTCTGGATCTTTCGTCTTGTGATATTGGACCTCTAATGATGCCGACCATTGGTTCGGAAGGAGGTGATGTGGATGTTTTACGCGGTGTCCAGGGTATCCCTGTAAGTCTTCCGGAGCGTCTTTCTCTCAGGCGACAGTCGATAGAGATGGAGAGTTGCATGAGAGCATCCAGGCTCTGTGGTAGTTCAATCCTGGCCAGTTCGTCCTTAACGGCCTCTGCGAGGCCCATACTTCTTCTTTCGAAGTATGTCTTCCGCTAACGTGAGGAACGCCTTCTCAATGTTTATGTTTGCTTTTGCACCAGTCTCAAAAAACTTAATTCCGTGCTCCCGAGCAATCTGTTCTCCCTTTGCTTTGGGCACCACCCTCTTGTCCTCCATGTCACACTTGCTTCCTAGCAGCATCCGCTCCACATCTGCATTGGCATGCTCATCAATATTTCTGAGCCACTTGTTGATGTTCTCAAAGCTTTTGGCATTTGTGATATCGTAGACTAACATGACTCCCATGGCCCCTCTGTAATAGGAGGTGGTAATGGTGTGGAATCGCTCCTGTCCGGCTGTGTCCCAGATCTGTAATTTGATCTTCTTTCCCTGTAATTCCACAGTTTTGATCTTAAAGTCTATTCCGTCTGGCGCACCCAGCGCTTGATCTCCGCAATTAAATTTTCCACAGGTCGTTTACCTTGCCGGATGTTTCGAATAGCATTTGCCGCAGTTATTTGCTTTCCTGGGTCGTCATACAATTGGGACATGGCAGCAATGAACCCATCATATGACTCCAGTAAAGGGTCATCGGTTTCTGAATACGTGTTTGCCCAGGCTCTGGGCTCCCCTCGTAGGTAGGATATCATAGTGCGTACTTTTACGCGATCATTTGGGTACGACCTGGGCTTTAATTCAAACATGAGTTTACATGCGTTTAGAAAGTCACTATAGTTCTTACGTTCCCCTGAAAAGATGTCAGGAGGCCTCACCTTGGGTTCGGGTCCTACACTGGCAGAGGCCCCCTCTGGTAGCCTTTGAGCAATAGTCTTGCGTAGGGTTTGGTTTTCGGTGCGGAGTTCGCTCACGTTCAACGTAAGAGCCTCCATTTGTTGGGATAGTTATTATGTGTTGGGCTAATTCCGCTGGATCCATTTTGTGAGGTCCTAATGTACTGTAACACTCGCCCTTGAAGAGGATTGTATTCCCCTATGGATCTCAACTGCGGAGGGTCAAGGTATGTATAAGTACGGGTATCAGATCGCAGCTTCTCCTCATATGCCCTGTATTTGAGAAAGGCGAAGAGGGAGCTGCATCACATCACATCCCGTTATCAGGAAGGACGTCACAGAGGGTTTGGAGTAGGTAAG